CTCATCTAGGTGCATATCTAAATTTCTCCTTCGTATTCCTGCTAATGGGCTTTTCAGGCTTGGATGTCAGCTTACCGCAGCTTCCCCTCTCGACTACTGTCATTATTACTTATATATGCATTTTCCGTTGTCTTCTCCAAGTTCGTCTCACCGCTATTTCCCACATATCGACCAATAAATCATAATCTTTTGTCCATTGGCAGGCCAGCTGCGGAAAGTCTAAGCAATACACAAAGCATATCGCTAATCAGAAGCATCCCTAGGCTGCGGCTAAGCTTATATTCTGCACAGGCTGTGTTCTCCCCGCTCCTTTCCTCTCTCTCTCTCTCACTGACACCACCTGGACACGACGAGTTCGACACTATGCCTAGCCCTAAAAAGCGACGCCGCAGGGGAAAGCCTGGCGCTAAGTCGCCGCGCAGTTCACTCTTGTGTGGTGTCTCGATCTCGCGGCTGGCCGGCACCGCTGGAGGCAGCGGCCACACCCAGCGTGAGCGCTATGTCGGCAAGTGTTGTATTCGCTGACGCATATTGATCATTTTGTACTCACTTGGTTGGCAGAATGTGTTCTGCGAGCGCGGCGGACGGTAACCAAGGTAAAGCGTGCACCATGGGAGTTCAGGCCGATGCAGGATCCACGATGGGTGCGCCGTTCTTTGTGAATAACGCGTGGTTGAACTTGAAGTGCTGAACGGGAACTTGAAATATGATAGGAATACTATGTCAAGGTGAGACCGTCCTTTCCAAAATTCCATGGCACCTGGACTCGAAGCTAACGCTGAGTACAGTGGGCGGGTTACGACGACCGCGAGAATACGTAGGCCGCCCAATTTCCCTCGGTAGCGCAGTTCTTTAATACGAACACCTTAGGTGGGAGCCCAGCAGCAGCTTGAAAGCCTCTTATAAGCCGCTCGTCCGCTTCTGGGATGAGGCAGTTGGCGGCGACCCGGAATACTCCTTGTACTTCAACACCACGCCAGGCACGATTGTTGCCGCAAGTGACAAATGGATTGGTAGGTCGACTGTCGCCTACTAGGATGAGCAGTCAGGAATGCTCACTTTGCCTGTGTGCAGCGGAGGAGAAGCGCAGGTTTGCGCAGACGATCAGGCAGGGGGAGAAGATGATGCCCAGGGTATGTGTCGCGGTTTAGTTGCCAAAGTTTGTCAGAGGTGTGCTCACGCAATCGGTGCACTTAATTAGAGATGGTGGCGCTTCCAAGATCGTGACAGGGGGGTGGCGATTATGCTCGGTAGGTGGCTCGTCTCGATTGTTTGTGGTGGGCATACTAATGAGGCCGACAGCCAGACGTGAATGACGACGAAGCCAACTCGGAAGATGGGCTAATCATCGACTCGGAATCGGTCTTGGACCCCGAGTCGGACACAAGTAGCATCGCAGAGTCGGACGACATGATGGCACAATTGTCGGTAAGTCCCTGGTATCGCTTTTTTCTGCACCATCAAAGATTCAAAGGGCTAACAGCATTATGATAATGCAGGTGACCTACAGCCGCTCTTCAAGCCTCTTCACTATCTACGACGACTCGGATGATGAAACCGAATCCTTCGCAACTGGAGAAATGGAGACGGAAAGAGGACGAATTCGCTACACTTGGGCCGCCGCTGTGTTGTGGTTCTTGCTCGGCGTCGTCACTGTCGTCTGTGTTGAAGTTGCAAGCGGCATGTATTGGCATCAGGCTTTTCGTGAGTACTTCTTCTAGTTCGTGGTTAATGACGTCTGATTTGTTCCAGTTCTGCCTCTTTCCCGAGCTCAGAGATGGTAGCACTGTCGAGCGGAGGATCGAGTCGGCGGGTCTACAGAAAAACTGAAGAGTGAAATGGCCTGTAGTGACTGAACTAGCTTCTTCAATCCAGTAAAGGAAGCTTCAAGCTGTATACCCGCCGAATAAGGCACTTGCGTGGCAGTTCGTCGTCATTTTCTCCCTCCGAGTCGCATCCACGAGGGCGATGTCGGAGCTCGGAAAGTCCCAAGAGTAGGCTTCCGGGGCGGCCGCAGGCAGAGATGCAAACTTGAAGCTTGAAGATCTAGAAGGAGAGCATTGTGCCAGTGCTAATGCTTGCCTACACTTGAGTACGAGTAAGCATGAATACCGTGATGGACGGTCGACCAAAAGCATCAGACTCAACACAAGGTCTTTCTTTTCGGTCTTAAAGGTCTGGGAGCAGCCAGTGCGGCAACCGCTAGCTCGCAAAAGGTGGTGCTGGACCTGCGGTAAGCAAAAGCGGAGCTTGGGAGCCAAAACTTGAAGGTGACGATTCACTGACGAAGGCTCACGAACTTGAAGCGCGCTGGCAAAGACGTACTTATTATGTATGGCCCGCAAAGTGTCCCTCAGGGCTCGGAGCGGTGATGAATGGGCGTCTACAACGCTGGTTGAGCAATGGCCGGCAAGAAGGAAAGCAGGTCGTAGTGGAGAAACGAAAAGATGAGCATGTGACCGTTTCTTCTTGCCAACGAACGCCCATGTCGATAACGGCCCTCGCGTCGTACGGGCGCTCTCTGCGCGCAATACCGCTGGCCAGTCCGGGCTCGACTAACAGCCTCTATGACGATGGATTCGCACATGCATACCGAGGAAGGATGGAGCGGTTAGCTGGTGACTGGTGGATGTAGCGGGGCTCGGTGAGTCTTGCCTTTTCTCCCTCTCATCGAATCATTCGTAATATGTATTCAAGGGCCCACGATACTCCCCACCTCCTCTTCCAGCATGCTCCTGACGTATCTCGCTGGCCTCCTCGACATTGGCGTAACCCGCGACTACTACTTCTGCACCTTCTCTTTTTGACACAACATACGAACAAGCGGTAGACAACGACGGGTCAGCGGGAGGCATACTTCACCGGGACTGTGGAGAACAGGGGAAGACGACCTGACTGGTCTTGTTGCAGGTTTGGGCGAAACGATAAAGGTCGAAATGCCACGGTGCGTATTTGTGTTGCTCTGTTCTACTAGTATTCCTGCTAACGAATGTTTGCCTGTAGTAACTCGGAGCTCATACAACGACTCTAGTCTGTTGTCGCTCTCAAACCTGGCGGAGCTGCCGATTGGAACGCGTCTTCGATGGGGAAAACTTTCCTGGTGCGTCATTCATCCAGCTTCTTTTGTAGATACCGATTGAAATTCTTTACACAACTAGCGCCGACAGCGAATGGGCTCTTCCAACAAGAACAGGGCCCAGGCGAAGCAAATGTCGCTTTGCCAAGGCGGCGAGTCGTGACGAAGGAGTTAGGGATATGCGAGCGGGGGAGCAGGGGATAGTGGAGTGCTCGGAATGCTGGGTGAAGATGCTTTAGTATCCGTGTCTTATCTCTTGGGCTCTTCTTTAGACCACTAACTTCATTGCATTACCAGGCCGCCGTGCACTTATTCAAGACCGGGGGTGGAGCGAATTGGTCGTTTTCCCGGCTGCTCGTGCCCGACGAAGACTTTTCCGATCTCGTTGCCATGCGACTTCCCTCGCGGTCATTCACACCTTTCTTCCCGATTCGCCAACCGCGAAATCTCTTGTCAAACTCTCTACAAACATAACAGCGGTCTCAGGCTGTGAAAAGCGCTGGGGGCTCTGCTGGTTCCCTGTCATCTGGCGACTTTTGGACCGTGGTCTCGGAAATGTTGCCCAAAACGATGTACGTCTTTCCTTTTCTCCCTCCCCGGCCGAGCATTACTGATGGATCATTGAGTGGGCCTGCATCCCAGCTCAATCGGAGATGCGAAGATAACGCCCTACTCGATTCTCGCCCGCGGTCGTTGTATCTGTCGATGTCGCGTTCGCGAAGAGTATCCAATGAGAATACGGCTTCTTGGCCTTGGTGAGTTACATATCTTTCTTTACGAACTTGACGCTGAGATACTCGTCTCAGTTGGGACTTCAAGCCACGAGAAGACTCTTCCTGAGAAACCCGAGTCAAAGACGACACAGGTGTAAATTCGACCCGGAAAGGCGCTCGCGAGTAGTATCTGGTGCGCATATTGATGTCTAGCACCAGGGCGGTCACTGACAAAACTGTTCACTGGCAGCCCGTTGTAGAGACTGTGTCCCTCCCTTCTCCAAAGGCCCATGATTCTGAGGTTGAGAGCGACGATCGTGGACAGGACGCGTGAGTCATTGCGGCTCATACTTGTCCTTTCGCTAACGCTCTGTCAGAAGGAGAAGTCTGGCTATCGGAGCGACCGAATCCGACCAAGAGGCGATAGAGCTGACGATCCGCAATGCAGTATATAACTGTACACAATTGTGATTCGAGAGCGCAAACATCTTGTTTTCTTTGGCCGAATTCTTCGCATTCCGGGCCTTACTCTTGCTGTTTCTCTTGCCCCCCATCACCCTTCTGGTCAGTCTGAATCCCCTTCCCTGAGTATATGGTCGACGTATGACTGGTGTTGCCATTTTTCTCGCCGCACTCGACACTGATCAGCTTCTGGATGAAGGCTTCGACGATGTCTTCCTCGTTGACGGGTATGCCGCGGCGGTAGCAGTGCAGGATGCCGGCCTCGATGACCTGCTCTACGTCGAGGAGGCCTTCTCTGGTCAATATCAGCGCCGCTTGCCGTGCGCGATAGGGAGACGCACTGTCTTGCCACGGTCCGGCGCACATCGTTTGGGGGGCACGCGGAGGTGGAACGCGCTGATTCTGTTCCGCCAGCGCGTTCGCACGATGTCGAGGTCCAGTGCTGCGGGGATCAGACAAAATGAAAGTGGAGCGGGTGTTGCTTACGTTGGTCGTGGGTGAAGGATACGAGGATTTTTGGGAAGGACGACATCTGCATTGGCGGAAGGACTCTCGGAGTCCAGCGCCGCGTTCATATACCGTGTACATTTGTGGACACCGCAGCCCTGGGTGTGGGTATGCGAATCTGAATGGGGAATCGATCTGCGAATCAATTCGATCAGGTTGAAGGCATTCAAGTTGTGTCCGACTCTGAGTACATGCGAAGGGGGGGGAGTAAGTACTACATATTATGGAGCGCACACATATCATCAATGCGCCTCGTCTCTTGAAATGTAGTCGGAACAACCTCCCCTCAGGCTCTCGCTCTCGCTTCGGCCGTCAGTCGTGCCCTCGGCGTTGCCCTCACTCATGCCTTTCTCCAAGTCGTCCTCACTAATGCTGCTGCGCCCTTCACTGCCCTCAGGCTCGTTGTTGCCCTCGCCGCCTGTCGGTGACGGCGTCCCGTCGTTGAACCCTAGGCCCACGAATCTTTCCTCGTACAGTTGTACGATGAGTTTGTCAGTGGCAATCCAGTTTTTCGCGTTGCACTCCGCGACTTCCAGCTGGATGACGTGCCCCACGTCGTAGAGGTTTTGCCTAACGCACATTAGACACGACCGCGCGATGTGGCAGGGAGTACGGACCGTTCGACCGTCAGCCAGCGTGGATCATCGAGGTCGGGCACGCGGCGGTGGAAGAAGTCGATCGTCTGCTTCATTCCTGTCCGGATGACTGCGCGATCGAGGGCTGATCGGAATGGTTAGAGAGCGCGGAGATGGCGGGGGAGAGTGTTGCGCACGCCGGAGCCATGGACGCAGGTCGGCGAGATCGAGGTCCCAGAGCGAGATGTTGATGGACATGCTGTAGGAAGCTTGGTGAGACGAGTGGTGGGCCATTTGTTGACAGCGGGGTTATATACCTACCTTCTGTGTGGACGCAACGCGTGTGTCTGAAGCACGCCTGAGTCCGGGCTCATTCATTTCCGACACGCAAGTTCATCAAGTCTGAATTGGCTCCAGCCCAACTCCAGCCTCCGGCCTGTGGCGGTGTTTTGACAATTCCTCCTCGTCGCCGATTTGAGCATCAGCAACAAGGCACGTTGTTCAAGGGCGGGAACACCGACTTTGCCATCGAGCGGCTTCACTCGCACAACCAGCGCCGACGTCCCCGACATCAACGGGCAAAGCTGCTTTGGCGCAACACAAAGGTTTTCTGGGAAAACGGTGTTAGCATCGGCTGTAACGACGACAAGGGCTACCCTCCGAGTCATCGACAACAGGGTCCTCTCCGCCCGCGGCTGGGATAACCACCTTCGCGCTCCCCTGCATCCGGCGCAGCGCATTCGACGGGGTAGTGCTCAGCAAATCAAGCCGCAGCCTGTCATTTGGAACGACGAGGAGGCATGCCCGTGGGCTGTTATAGCCAACGGTGCCGTCTGCTCACATACGTTCATGGATACTGGACGGAGACCTTCAAAGCGAGGGGTATGGATCGCGGGGGTCCACCAAGACCTGTGGATTGACTTCAGTATGGCGAAGGCGGGGAGGACAACGAGGAAACACGATAGCACCTCGGCTCTATGCGTCGCGAGCCAGCCATGTCAGCTCCCCGCTGCCAATGAAGAGCTAAAACTGGGAATCAAGGTAATATCGTCAAACTTGGGCGATTTTGCGGAAAGACTGACCACAAGGAAGAGATAACGACCAGAGCTGCTCCCGGATCCCCGCGCGATGTAGAGCGTACTTATCGGCCAACAAAGGCCCCATATCCAAGGGAAGACAACGCGCGAATGATGTCCTTCCCTTCACGCGTCTGGCGGTTCTGCCAGTGAGCCGTTTGCGTCCATGATTTTGCTCGCATTTTGAGCTGTGAAGAGTGCGGCGAAGACAGATGGTAGTTGCGGAGTCTTGGAACGGCACCGCTGCGCCAGCCTGAGGTGCGCAAGTACTCGCTGTAATCGAGGTGTCGGGAGAACAGGCTAAACAGCAAGTCGATTAAGATTCAAGACTCGGAGCGTGAGGACTTGAGATATATAGGCCCGGAAGGCGGACGAAGATTGAACGCCCAGCTACATCGTGCAGAGCGAGAGCGGTACGAGCGCGCCTTGTAGGTCGTCGGTGGTGGGCAAGAAGAAGAAGGAGGAACGACGATCATCGGCATCATGATGTGACGCATCTTCTTCCGCTCCTCCACGGCTCTGCCATCCCAGTCTCCAGAACCCGCCTGTCCCTGCGCGCAAGCCCGCGCCCTCAGCGCACAGGAGCCCCGCAAGCAGTTTGGTGCAACAGGAGGCCCGCTACACGATGACCTTGCGACTGCCTTGTTCTTTAAGCAGCAGCCGCCTCTGACTTCAAGTTGTCCGACATGACAGCCTCAGCAATCGATAACCGCGGACGCTGAAAATGGGGGAGCATCGTGAGGGCTGGCGGGTGAGGAGATATGACTGTATTTGGTGCGCCAAAGCACTACCTTTTTCTTTTTCTCGTTCCTGACGTTTTCGCGTTGCAGATACTCTGAAACACGTTCTCTAGCGTGAAGAAGAACAGATACGCGCCACACTCTCGCTTATCCCGAGCATTTTCTGCTCTCCCGCCGCTAATTACTGGACAACAACGATGTTCGACGTCGCATACGGCTGAGAAGGAGCCTGCGAGATGGTAGAGGGAAGCCTCGTCTAAAACGGCCTAAACGGTGCGTGGTCTTACTGTCTGTCGACTACACTCACCAATGTGAGGGTTGCAGGACTTACTCCAGACTCAACCAACATGCCGGCAGGCCATGTAGAAGCCTGAGCGCGAGGGAGATACCGCTTGAGCTAGTATGTCTGGGCAGCAACGACTAGGACCGACGAAGACTTCTCGGACGGGGTATCACACCGTCTGAGTAATGCGTGCAAGAGCGAGGGCCCCACGACCATCTTCGCGCCGACGAAGCTTGTCTCCAAGTCGCCCATGAGACTGTCTTCAAGGGCCTCACAACCCTGCTGAAACAGCATCCTCCGTAAACAACAACGCCATCTGTTTCAGCACATCTGCGTCTGCGGCGGCCACATAACCCCACACAAGCAACGCGAATCGTCCCCTTCTTTCCCGACTGTTACGCGTGTCGCGTCACCGCCACGAAACGACTTCCAACGCTGCCCCTACACTTTATACATCTCTATCGAGTGTATCTTGTGGTGCAGCACCATTGCCTTGTGCCGCCCAATTCTTTCTGGGCGACAATATTCACGGCAATGCCCTCCTCGACACCGTTTTCGACGGTGACACCACTGGGGCTGGAATCGACTTCACCGCCATCTTCAAAGCGATACGCAGCCGACAACGTGTATCCCGTCATGCGCGGGCATATATTCGTCCATTTTGGGGGCTGTTTGGCAGGATTTTGAGCGCGCGTCGTTGCGCGATGGAAGATTTGCGTTGCGGGATGGAGTTTTGGGAAGGAAGTTGGCCACAACGCTTGAGGGATAGAATTAGCGTATGTGGCTCTGCTCATTGCCTCTCCAGACGTCATTTCTAACCCCGCATGAAGGTCTGCTTGCTGAATTTGTAGACGACATTGATATATAGTATCTTCTGTCTCATTCCGACTTGCTGTCATTCGTCCCACATTCACCATCTGAAGGCGTGCGAGGAGGCACTAATTCTACGATCAACGACCTCTCGCCGCAGACCACCACATTACGTCGATGTCGCAGCCTGAAACAGTGCCGCCGCTCGGGCTAACCAATTTGCTGACACGATACTTAAGGGCGAATCTCTCTCAAGGTCCTTGGGACAAGTCTTTCAGGAATTACACTGTCAACGATACTTGGGCTGCGGTTCCAACATACCCTCAATCGAACGTGTCGTCAATCCAAATCCACCAGCTTTGATGTGGTACATGTAGATTGCAATCCCAAGTCCGCCGCGCCGAACTCTGGTCGGGGAAACTGCACCAGCGAAAAGTTGGCAAACTGTCCAGCGAGAGCAAACCTGCCAGTGGTCGTCTGGTCGCTCGCGTCCGTGAACATGAGCTGCTTCATTTCCAGCTTCCCGAGCTGCTGCGACATCTTGTATGTCTTGACCGAGCTGGCGCAACCGTGAGTGAGCTGATTCCACCATTCGTGTCAGTGCTTACTTCGCCGTCGCGCCACTGAACACCGTGAAGCTCCCCGACCACATGGTGATTGTGTTGTCGTTCACCTTCTGGACCATTTTGACGTCCGCCTGGTGCACGAGGCTCAAGGTGAGCTTGCCTGACTTGTATGTGTTCCCGGGCGCGACGGCCCGGTAGCCTGCATCCCTGGCCGCTAGGTCCATTGCGCCTAAGCTGTGTGATTGATCAGCGAACTGCACACAAAGGGGAGGAAGACTTGCGCGACACCGCTTAGCGTCAGCGTGATTCCCGCGGTGCCCAGCGTGAGCGACGCAGCCGCAGGCACGAGTGCGACGGCGATCAGACCACCCGTTACAACGAGGGCCACGACGCCGAGCAGGCCGCTGACGACGGCTGCGATCCCGAGCCCGACGCTGTTGGCTGCGTATTTGATGTAGAGGATGTTGTTGGTGTCGTTGAGGGTGGAGGTGTAGGAGCCCATGGTAGGTGTTTTGCTGGCGAAGATGGCTGTTTTTACTTATACTGGCCCTCCACGATAGCTGCCACTTGATACTTGATACTTGATGCAAGGAACAGAAGAGAAGAAGCAAAGCGAGGACCTAGTGGTGCAAATGGGTCAAGTGGATCCCTCGCTTTCTAGACGACGGTGAGACACAGACAACTAATCAACATGAATCCATTGGAATAGAAACGTCGGCGAAGGTTTTTCTCAAGGGGGTATCAGAAAAAAAATAACGGAACATACGTTGGACTTTTTGTTTAAGCCCTTCCAGGGGACCCACCGACCGTGACTGTGATGTGACATCACCATATTAGGAAGGTAATTCACACAGTCATGTGATCTGATAGCATCAAACTCAGTCAGTCCTCTAAAATTTCCAAGAACATTAATAGAAACATAGACTTCTAGCTATATATATATCTTGTAGACAAAGTCCTGATATAGTCATTGTCTTACAAATCTCACTCCAGAGTACAGATATCCATCCCCATATGGTCTGATTAGTCACAATGTTCCATCTGATGATGAGATACTGAAAAATAACCACTTGTGAGATTGTTGATACTTAATTATGGATGTATAGTGCACCAAACAGTACTTGTAACCCATCCTAAGACAATTTTGACTTACCATTTCAGCCAAAAAGTTTCAACCAAACAATTTTTTTAAGGGTCCGGAGGGGGGACCGACCGACCATCCCGGTTGTCACTTTTTGACACGTGACACCCCCTTGGTTTTTCTTACGCAAATGGGTGGGACTGATCATTTTTCAGGGATAGGGCTCCAACTATTTTATTTCTGTTTGTGAAATTTTCAAATAAAATAGAAACACAAATACAAACAGTAATAAATGTTTAAAACTATTTGTAAATGGTTTCTTCCCATCAAGTAAAATTGAGCTGTCTGTTTACAAATTTTGCCATATATCATGTCAATTTTCATGTCCTATATGCATCTACCAATGAGAAATATGTTCATTCAAGCTGCAATAGTCCCTTTCAATGGAAAGTATATTTCCTATTGATTATATCACCAATTTTTTCAAAGATCAAATGCAGCTCAGTGCTAAGGAGGAGTTGTAATATAAACTTCGTAGTGATGGAATGTTGGTTCTAAAATGAGTGTAAATGTTTCTAAGGTTCAAAGATACTTAAACCACACTATTGAGATCGATTTGGGTGTGTTTGGAGTGAAAACCATTTGAACTATTTATTTGTATTTAATTTATGTTTGCCCATGTTCACAAATAAATGGGTGTTTAAATGTTTATTACCATTTGTAAATATTTACAAATGGAAATGGTTGGAGCCCTATTCAGGGACACATCTGCTCTTGCATGGCCAGAAGGCTTGAGCTACTTCCGAATTCTGGGCCTGGGTTTAATTGTCATGATGGCAAAACCAAAATTAGACGGAGTTGGCTGTGACTTAAAGCAATCGATATAACAGCGCTCTCTGCCACCAGCACGCACCATGGGGTCGTACATTTCAATCATGAATGATGGTCTCATCAACCAGTTCCAAGTCGACGTCCGTCGTCAGTCCTTCCTCAGCGGCAACACGACGAATGGTGTTCTTGTTTCTGGAGTCGTTTTTTGGCCTAGAGTGGGGTGGATACCCGCTTGGTAAACCCGATTCTGAATAATAGTATGTTGCTTTGTGACTGCGGGAGTGTATATGTGTTGACGCGTTGTTTGTAGACGACACTCGAGCGGCGGCGTTGGTTGCCTAGTATGAGTCGATGATTCAGAGTGAGGACACCTCTGCGTTTACTGTCGTGATGACAGCATCGCAGTCGCCAGGCGTTGGATTAAGGAGAACACTTAAACGAGGGGTACTCTTGTATTCAATATCAGATTCCATAACAAGAACAGGAAGTTGTCGTCGTCTATGGCCCGGATTTGAAGCTGAGCCACGTTTGAGTTGTTGCCTAAGGGCTTGAGAGCAAGTTGAGTATTAGCGCTGGCTTGAAGAGAAGTGGAGGGAAGCCGCACTAGGAACGCTTGTGTGTTGTTTCTTCGCGAAACGAAAGGAAGAGCAAGCTTGAAGCAGAAGGCGTGACATCACACTTTCTCCTCTTCTCTTTGCGCGGTCATGTCGTCAAGCCACCTATCCCAACGCCTTCTTCAGCTCAAAACACGCGGTGGATGGAGACGAAAGAAGCGCTGCTGCAGCAGGAAAGGATGGAGAGGGAGAGGAAAGCTAAACGAGGAACGACAAATGGGTCCTGGTGCATTACGGGCACTTATTGGTGTGTTGGCCTGGTTTTTCTTGCCTTTCGAATGACTCAATGCAGCCTTAGGACTCAATCTCCGCTCTCCTTTCCTGACGCGGTCCAAATCGTACTGTGCAGCGACTTCGCAGCGACGATAAAGTCTTAACTAATTCACGCAGTCGACACGACACCAACTCTGCCACACATACTTCGTTTATCTGTCGCTAGCGCTATATTCGAGCTCCCAATTACTTCCAACGTCCTTTGCCAGTGCTTTCCGAGCCCGACAATGCTCTTTCCCTCTCCTACTCCTCAACAGGCCCATTCTTCACGATTTCTCCCTGGATATCAAGCTTCAATCACATCTTCGGCGCTCGAACCTCTCCTTCCTCCCCATTTCACGCCGACTTTGCTCGTGAAACTACCATTAGCCTTGCGCTACATCGTGTTGAGGCGGCGAGCCTGCAGCCAACATGTGGCGGTCGTCGCGAAGACATGATGATGTGGTTATGGAGCGCGCAAAGGAAAGATACTCGAGTATGTACTGGGTTTTACTCTACAAGCATTTAAAAGCTGACAACGAATGGGCAGATACATTACAAGCACGTTTGTACATGTCGTTTTTGTTTTTTTACGAAAGATAGCCGACACCCTCAAGATTCGAGAGACGATTCTCGTTCACTGGCAAGGAAGCCACACAACGCGCAATCCATTCCTCTCCATACCCTTCGTCCGTCCCCAGCCCTACACACACGGACAATTGTCTTCTTTGATGCCTTTTTGGCCTAAAGTCAGTCACCCCCGCAGGCGATCGTGCAGCGTTGCGAATGCATCACGTGGAGGCCAGCAAACCGTGTCCACCTCTACAAGACACCACCCCCCTCACTCTCAATTCTCTTCTCCGCGCATTTTGACGGTTGAGGCTATCGTCGAGCCCGTTCTCCAACGTATATGCTGTTTCGACACATACTTGGTCATTGTATTGCTGTCCGAAGCTGAAGAGGCTACTGCCGACGCTTCATCACATTTCCAACATGCATATCCACCACCTTCCCTTCCCTTCCCTGTTGGCGCAAGCGCCATCCGCACGACCCAATCGAAACCGCGTCCCAAAATGGCAAGTCACGTGGGCCGACAGCCTGTCGAAAGACCTCGATGTATCTCCCCCGGCACAACAGTTGTGGCTCCTGCTGGTGTCTCCTCATATGCTCTACACTTCCCCTTCTCTACCCAACCCTTTTGGCCGTCGGATCCGGAGTGGAAGGTCTTCGTCGAGTGTGTTTTCTGGGCAATGACAGTGGGCATGTAGATGGGGTCTTCGCGGCGCAGACTAGTAGCCGGGCTCAAATGGGTGTTTCATCATGAAGATTGGGGGTTACAGAGGTGCTAGAGAATGTCCGCCGGAGGATGCCTGACCTGTGTCTCTGACTCGCTGTCGCTTTCCTTCAGGTCTGGCGCCGCCGGTTTGTTGGAGGAATGACAATAAGTACTGTAGCCAGTCTCTTTTAGACCACATTTTCTCTTGTCTACGGCATCTTTATATATCTTGTGTGGTACAACCCAAGCAAATTATCGTTCGTCTTTCACTCCCATGATTTCCGCCTCGGATGGCCATTCGGCATCGAAACTTTGATGCCAAAGGTTCTCTGCAGGTGCTGCAAGTCGCGGATGTCCTTTTCCAGAATACCATACGGCGCAAACTCGACGACAAATCGTGCGAGCTTCATTTTGCGCTGAACACCATCGGAACACATATCCGCCACGCGCATGGCGATTCCATCCAGGAATGGACGAATGTTAACTGGGGCGGGCGCGGAGGCAGGTATGACCAGGGTAAAGGATTCAAGGTTGGAGAGGAGGTTCGACTCAGCGAGCATTGCAGAGCACTTCCGCCCTTGGTCATTGGTCATGGAGAATGCGGTTACGGTCAGATGTTTGACCGGGTGGATTGTGTAGGAGGTGAGGAGGTAACGGAAGGCCGCAAAACTTACGGGTGTGAGTAGAGAGAGTGAGGTTACAGTCGCGGCGGAACGCTCGATAGCGGGGTCGATAGAGGACTCGACAATAAAATAGTGAAGGTCGGAGAGGCAGAGAGTTGTTAGGGCGGGTAAGAGGAGGTGGTCTAAGATGGAACTGCTGTCGTCGGCCACCAGCGACAACGTCGACAAGCGGGGCAGGTATAAGTTAGAGGCTGGTATGTCCTCTTCGAACAGCGAAGAGAGCGACAGCTCCTCCAGCGCCGCAAGATGAGTAATTACAGACAGGATTTCGGTGCACGTCGTTGGACGAAGGATCGTCAGTTTTTGCAGTTGATGGGCAGGGAATGAAAGCCGCAAGACCAGGCGGGGAATGCTGATGGACAGCTCTTGGAGACGGGGAGCATTCATTAATACGGGTCTCTCGCCGGTATCGATGGGGCGCCAGACGTCAAATGCGAACTTGGTCAATAGGGGGAAGTCGAATTGTGCATTCGCTGGCGTGTCTGACTCTGAGTCGGCAGCCGCCCAATTGACGGGCCACTTGATGCTGCACAGGGATGCTTCCGCCCATTGGGGAGCAGAGTCGAATATACACCGCGGGAGGTCGTATGACTCGTAATCGTTGGCCTCTTCGGGAATTGAGAAAACAACAGGCAGTCCTTGTGTCCGCCGCAAGAAGTGCTCAGCGAGAATATCCCGCTCGCCGTCTATGAGGTAAGAAACACGCGTCCAGAGGTGCGGGTCTGCGATAGCCGTCCGCCGCCAGCGTGGACACACAGCGGTAATTTGTAGCAGCGTGCTGTTAACGTCGAGGGAATGTGAAGACGACACTGCTTCCGCAAAGATGTGGCAGAGTATTTCGGCAGGAAGAGTGTTGATTGGGTAGACGATAGTGGATAGGCTATCCTGGAGGGCTTCAAGATGGTCTTCGAGGATTTGTAGCTGGGTCTTGAGTTGTTGGATCGTCTCTTTGACCTTCTCTGCCTTGTCTCTGAGTTGAGAAATGGAAGTGCTGTCAAAAGGAGGGTCGAGTCGGCGAGCGGCACGGAAGAACGAGAGCATCTGGGCGGCATCGCGGTCAGACATTGAATGAGAAGGCTCAAACGATCCCAATAGACGCGAGTTAGCAGTACTTCAAGCCAAGCAGTGAATAAATAAACGGGGGGCAAGACCATGACTCACGGAGGACTCGAGACACTCAATTACAGAGCTTCCCAAGATGAAAACAAGAACGGGAAAGAGAGTCCAGTTGTTTCCGCGGTCTGGTGGAGGTTGTCGTCAAAGAAGATCGTCGCGTGTCACACGTCATAACTCTTTCTTCGTCTTCACCACCCCCGGTCAACGCCGCGGCTCAGAATGCCCACGACCAGTCCTGTCGCTATGCATACGCTGCCAAACGGGCCTCCAATCCCACTCTAGAGTACCAAGAGGGACACATCCGAGTCGGCAACGGCACGAGTGCAGAGGCGGAGATGGAAACTTGGATGTGATTCAGAGGTGCGTATTCAAAGGATTGCCCATTGAAAGTCTCTGCTCACCCATATTCTTCCAGCCTGTTGAACTCGTAACAGCTCCGTCCCGCGGGCACGATCGCCACCCGCGTTCACCCTTCCACACCGTTCCGACATCCCCATCTTCGACAACGAGATTTACGAGAGCAGTCATTCGTGCGACAGTTTGCAAGCAGAGACGCCAAAATGTGCGGATGGCTTTGGAAGCCGCTGGGACGGCGGATACCGGCAGAGCAGTGCGCATTCCAAGTGCTTTCAATCCAAGTATTCCGGTGTGACATGGAAGATGACGATGATCTACTCTTTTCCTCTACCTCAACCAGGCGCTAGCACAGAGTGCTGTCTCGAACGGACGTCCTGCTTTACATGTAGCAGACGTGAAGGAAGACACGCTGGGTAACAGCGTCAGCGGCCAAGCACGTCAGCATCTTTTGCCTCTTTCACTTTTCTAACCGCCTGTTTCTTGCCAGACTCTTGCTCGACGGCAGCCATGCGGTACGGCGACTGTATCGTGGCAGGATATGGACGGGTCAATGAGGCCAACGGGGCCAAGGCGCGTCTGCAACCCTCTCTGCTCTGTTCCTGCTTGCTGACGGCATTTCGCAGACCAGCCCTCCATCCGTTTGCGGGCAATAACATTCACGATCCCTCGCTACAACACCGTCTTCAGCAACTCGCCACACTACATGGACCGCGCAACTTTACAGCAACAGGAGACAGAGTGTCTACCCGTAGAATATCGCTCGACCAATCGAGGAGGGAAAGATGTCGAAATGTGGCGGGAGGTAGCTAAGCGGAATAGGGCTTCGTGTCAACGTGTATGTGCGGCCAACGATGCGTTTATCTCCATATCCATCTCTATGCTAACTTCAGTCGTCAGACTGCATAGCCTTCATCTTGTCGTAAACCGAGAGCAGGGGGGTCCGAGGCTTTCTCAAAAGCATTGGGCCAAATCTAAGGGCTGAGCGGGTGCGTGAAATGCGTCTTATTCGTCTCCTTACCAGCTCATTAGGGCTTTCAGGCTGATTCGCTTCCATCCACCACAGCTCGACCGATCTCTTCACTTGGGTAGTTGATTCTTACTGACAAAGATACTTCTAGTATCATCTTGAAATGCATGCCCTTTCGTCACTTTCCTTTGCCATAACGGTTCCCAAACGTATATCCCCGCCACTGTGGTCGAAAGCATCATGTCGAGCAAATGTCGAGTGTCGTTCATCATACCTCCGCAACCAGCGCTAATGTCGCTAGGGGATTTCGCTATCTTCTTCTCTTCCCGTTCCTCCGTGCTTCAAACTATCCATATTAATTGTTACCATCTTCCATCGCCATCTCCTTCCTTTTGAAGCTTTTTTGCGCCCACCTCGGGTTTTGTGTCCTCAGACTAATATCGGCCCTGTGTTCACAAGAGACTTTGGTGGAACTCATCTGTGCTTGGTCACCTGTTGATCAGGCGTTAACGATCAGGCGTTAACGAGTTGGGGCTTCTGCAGTGCCCGCGGTTTGACTCTTCGACGTCGAATCGACGAACCCTTTCCTAGGAGCCAGGATGGAGTCCGATGGACTCCTCGTACTTTCAAGTCACTTACTATTTCTGACGACGAGAATCAGCGACCTCTACCATGCTCCTTTTGCGCCACCTACATGCACATTATCGCCAATGTTGCCCTTGCAATCTGACCGATCATCTCTCCTCGTTTCGCTTTTCTCGCGTGCTGTCACGCGTGAGCTCGACGACAATGGCACTCTTTCACGTCATATCCTACGGCTCCCAGCACGCGGTGCCCTCAATATATTAATATCTACAGCACTAATAACTAGTGCCTCTCGGCCTAAGCCTGCCTCTGGAGGTTTTGCTGGGAAGTGGACTCCGTCTTGTGGGCAGTCACGGAATTGCCAAATATTTATTGCGCGGGGGATATTGGGATGCCGGGGACATGCACCTCGCGACTTCCTCCCCGTTCACTGCTGCCAGGTCTAATCAAAGACAGACCACGACATCTCACACTCATACCATGGAGACCCTCAACGCCTTCCTTCGCCCGCACGGCATCGCGCTGCACTACCTCGACGAGCGCTCGCCACCTACGCTCTCCGCAGTAAAGGAAGCTTTACTCAAGCCCGCGCTCCTCGGATACCTCATCACGCCGGAGATGGACCGCAACCAGCTGGCGAAGGGTATGTGGGAGCGGCTGAGCGAGTTTGGATCGCGCGTGCGCGGCACAGACAAGCGGTGGGACGAGGCAGAAGAGTGCGTTCCTTAGGCTGCTCGTGCCGGGCTCGTTCTGACCCCTTGCAGACAGGGCCTCGTAGACGTCGACAAGACCATTGAGCTGGGCACGACGTATTGCCGCAGCAAGAATAGGCCTCTCACGGTGGAAGCCGTCCTGGAGGTGCACTCGTATCGCTTGGCGCTGGTCGAGCGCCGGCTGACGCTCATGTGGCAAACTTGGAATAATTTTGTGTACTGGAGAGTGGCGCAATATTTGACGCGCTCAGCTCGAGCATATTCAAGTTGTTTAGGGACAGACGAGTTCATTCCGGTTGGTGAATCAATATTGTTGCATATATAAGGGCCGCTCTTCGTTCTGCGGTATGAACACATGCAAGATATCTAACCCTTGAAAAATATGAGCGAAACAATTGGCATGAGCGAAGAAACTCACGCGTTCCCGGTCTAGAGGACTCCCTCCGCTCCCAGACACAATGACCCCTCCCGGGCCCTCCGCGAAACGACAACGCAGCTCGCAGTCCTTCGAAGCCCGCCCCGCTGTTTCCCATCCACTATCCATCCTCGATGGCATATACCGCCCATGCGCTGTCTCTGGCGGCCAAATCAGAACGTGTCTGGAAGCAGGTAGGTGATGCCACGCACCTGCAGCCAGCTGTCCTCTCACTCGATCGTCTCATTCGCCACAGGTCCCCGCCGTCAAGAGCTGCGCCATCTGCGAAAACGCGTCAGGCAAGGCTTTAGGCAGCAGGGCGGGACAGACCGGAGCAGTCAGTAGCTCTCGCAGTACAATGCTGAGCCGTGTTGATGCGCATTCGGAGCATGGAAGAAGAAGTCGGTGCCCGTCGTCAAAGAAGCAGGAAGGTCGGGCCGACATGTGATGTCCGTCCTCCACCACCACGATCCGCGTCTTGAGCACGACCTTCCCTGCACTGAGGAGACGCGTCAGAGGGCACTCCGCGTCATTAGAATCACTAACCTGCGGGGCGCAGAGGAAACAGAGCGGCTCCTGTCACGCAAGCTGTCGCCCATGACTAGACCTCGAATCGTTCGCCCTCGGAGTCGCCATCGCGTTAACAGAGAAAGAGAGAAAGGTAAATACCCAGGCTGGTGAGGAAGCGATAACCTGTTTGGGCCTGGAAGTCGTGGCTGTCTCGGAGCTAGATGACGTTTTAGATAGCCAAACAACAAGAAGAAGTAAGCATGTTTCGCACCTTAGAGTGCCTTGGAGCTCAATAACTAGTGGCGGACGGAACAGAGGCATCCACCCGGTCGTAGTCAGTTAAACTGCAGTCTCGAGGGCGACGCTGAAACGGACGAGTGGCGAGTAGCACATGTAAATGAGACTAGAAAGATTTGTTAGCGACTGAAGCTGGGGAGCGACTGGCAGTACACACTCGAGCCATCCGTAATGACCATCCTATGTCGCAGCGCCGGACGCGGGGTAAGCTCTTGCAGCGATAGGGATATTGTCCCCGCCGGCGTCCTTGCGTGGTTTGGAGGAGATATCGGAATCCTGCATTAAGAAACGGCCTTCGCAGACATGGATTATGCCGAGGAGGTGGCAAGAGATTGACGAGAAGGGAGGGTGGCGAAAGAGAGTCTGCCACTGGCAGGAAGAACGTTAGGGCCGACATCAAGAAGAAGCGTATAACATTACGCACCTTGAATACCAGCGTCATACAGGATGGTTCCTCCCCCGGCTCTGCGTTGCCTCTCCTACATTCTCCACCACGCTAGCTTAGGGCGCTAAGCTGCGCCTTGATTCGGCCTTCGAGCTTCTCCCTGAGCCCTCAGCAGCCAGGCGATAAGAACGCGGCTGGCTCCGAGTACTGCTGGCATGAGAGGCGTCAGGCGTTTCGAGAACGACGTAGTTACCCGTCGCATGGTGGGAGAAGTGAGAACGGCTACAGGATTTGCCGCCGTTTGGGGGAGGAACCAAAGCAGGTCAGCAAAAAGAAGATATACTACTCTGGGGCCCGCACCTCCCATTTAGCACTCGAACGAGCCATGGATGGCCTTTGACGGTGTCGGACCGCGAGCAGGAAGATATGTACACTAGTCCATGGTCGTGGTGGAGAAGAGAAAAGGAAGATCGGCGCCGGTCCGAGCATGTGATCTCCGATCTTCTTCTCCTCCCTCCACCACGACGACCCGCACAGTCACCTCATCAGCGAGCACACGAGTCATCGTATGGGACGAGTACTCTGTCGCGGCCGCTGTCGCGCCTGACTTCGAGAAGCTTCGAGAATCTTCCCAGCCGTTGTGGAGCCGACACGCTGAACGAGGGCCCGCCTGTGCGACAGCGCCAAGGCGTGTACCTTGAGCTTGAAGGAGCTGGAGCTTGACGAAGCAGAAGCCGCGGCCATATGCTGGGAAGCAGGAAGGTGTGTAGCCGATCTGTCACCCCGCGTTTGCTAACTTTTTCTTGTAGCTTCTGCAACAGCCAACGACACGAAAACCACGACGACTATATACTAGAGTCTTCCACTTCAGCACTGGACGGTGCCTACCGGGGCCACAGGCGGTTACCAAGCAGGTATGTCTCCACCTTGCTTGCGCTTTTGCATTGAATCTCACATCCTCTTTCAGACGGTCTTGGGACGCAAATTGCTGTTGCGAACGAATATGTGCTGGCGCGCTGGGAGTTGTGATGAGGCGGGACGGGGAAGGTCCTGCTGAAGGTATGGAACGACCACTGAAGTTTTGCAGCGCTTTTCTGACTTCTTCCTCGGCAGACAGACACTACCTTGGCAACTCTCTCGCAAACTAGAGGATTTAGAGGCCAGAGATGGACGAGAGAATGTGGGGCGTTTTCCAGGTTGGCGCGAAGATAATATCGAGGGCAGCCTCGCAATGTGCGTGAACGACCATATCCGTATGAGTCCTATGTCTAATCCTTTTCGCATCCATCCAGTGGTCTTACCCTCATTCTTCTTCCTCACACACACCCCTCGCGGAGCCTATTCGGCCCGTCTCACCAGTCCTCCTTCACCAGTCCTCCTCTTTCATTATTGCACCAGCACGACTGGATACCTGCGCGCAGTGCCTTACGGAAGGGGACGATGCGAATTGATTGAAGTAACCAGATACTTGGAGAGAGCGAAAAAAGTGCGTTATTTATCTCCTTCTTTCGGGCTTCTACTAACTGCTTTCGCAGCTTTCACAGCTTCCGCGACAGGCCAACGGCAAGAGGACATGTACCCATCCGCCTGCCGCTTTCTTTTACCACCACTTGTCGCTACCCGCTCGCCGTTCCCCCTACACCAACGACCATACGAAAGACTGCCCGTCTTGTTCCCGCTTGCCAACGACGACAAGGAGGAGTCTGTGCAGCCGGGCGCTATCGACCGAATCTCGTGCTATCTGGCGTATATTTCTTTTGGCATGTGCTAGTCGGGTGGAAGGCCTCCGCTGCATGTGTTTTCGTCCGAGGGTGGACTTCGTGCCGGGCGTGGTGGCGAAGCTGGGAATTTGCTGGGAGACGGAGAGGAGGGGATGTAGTTGTGGAGGGGGGCGCATATGGATGCGTCTGTGGTGATCTTAACGCCGCGGGTTGCCGTCTGAGCCCGGTCCTCGTTTTTTTGTGCCAACCATCGTTCATGACGCGCCAACGGCCCTTATACAGGAGCTGTCGAGTACCTTAACTACAATGGGCGTCGACCTCGCTAGCCTTACCTCCACTCCTACCTGCTCCATGACACTAGCCGACTCGGACAGCCCAAATCCGTTGAGGGTATTTTGGCGCGTATATAGCGGCTAGCCTTTCAGACCGACGATGGCCGTTGAAAGCCTGCTGGCTTTGATTCTCACCTGAGGGCATTTCGGAATCATGACTCTAGCGACGTGTATCCATTCCATTTGTACATATATTCTAGAACGGCAGAACCAGATTCAAGTTGTCCTAAATGTTTGTGTCTCCAACGTAAAGCACAAGTAAACATACTAATTAACAAGGGCATTCGACATGGACAACATGTACGGTGCTGATATTCCTGATGTTACCTGCTCTACTTGCAAGATGCCCTTCTCCGCTGCCCGGGGCATCGTCTGCCGCATATTCACGCTAAGGGTGCCGATGTATGCAGCTTCATCCTGCCAGTGAGGGGTCAGGTAACGATGGTCTAGCTCAACAGCATAGCGGAACACAGTCAAAGTGGGATGCGCAACAAGCACGCTGTCGAGGGCGGCGAAGGAGACTGAATTGAAGAGTGGCTGGCTGATCATCCGAAGGCCCGGGTAAGCGCTGAACTGCAAAGTGAGCTCCGCGAGCGCAGTCGCATGGGAGAGGAAGGCGATGGAGGAGGACAGGACGTGCTCCTCTCCCGCTACGAAGGGCATTCCAAGATATAGGTTGACCTGGTGCAGACGTGGGAAGTCCACAGGAAAGGCAAGAGTATCCCATCGAAACGGGCCTGTTTTGCTTTGTCAGCATAGGAAAGAGAGGTTGTATGTTAAACTTACGGTTGAAGGACAGACGGAGCGTCTCCAACGTGTGCGCGGCGAAGAAACACAACTTGAGGTGATCTTCAGTTGCCATGTTCTCTAGTGTCAGATGACGGAGGAAGCTGAAATGGTGTGCAAATTCCGAATGACACAAACGGTCAAGAAGGATCAAACTAGACGATATTGTGAGGGATGTAGGTGGAGCTGAGTGGGAACTATCATTGTTGTCGTTGTTATCATCCTCGTGCTCTGATTTAGAATCGGAATCGAGCACGGGCCCAGCGCGAACATAGTTGAGAGAGTCGGCAGAAATCAGTGTTTTGCGCACCAGCTCGACAGATAAGCCATAGACATCGAATAAGGAGAGGGCTTTCAATCTGCGCGTTAGTTGTTGACGACTAAAGTCACGGTATATGTCGAGGAAAGTCTGGATGATGCCCGAGTGAATCCTCGGCTTACTATCAACTTGAAATTTAGCCCCAATTGCGGTGGAGCCCCGTATGCGCGCCGTCTGTAGCGCTGACAGACACCGGAAGACGGATGCCACAGTCGTATCTCTCATTGCCAGCGCTATCTCTTCGTTGTCCACATGGTCGATTAAAACGGTGAGATGCGTGATATATGCAGCGAGATGGGGAGAGCGGGTGAGGTGCGCGAGAGCATCGGAAGAGCTGTGCCATCTTGGTCCAGCCTCCCAAGTGTTTGGCCGTTTCGAAGAAGTGATGGAGAGGTTTGTGAGCAGCCGTCGTTGACAGGCTATGAGGAAGACGGATGCAACGAGGCAGAGGGCTTTCAGTGCCGCGGTATCTTCTTTGGCGATGTTGTCGACGATAGAGTCAATGAGTTCTGCTGGAAGATGAAACATAATGGGAGAACCGGAGGAAGAGGCAATGCTCACCGTGACAGATCATTCCTTTTCTCTTCTCGACTGCCATGTCCTTCATCATCGTCATCACCCCACTTCCATCCACTTCCCTCTCTCCCCCTTCTTTCCCACTGCCCGCTGGACAACGTAGTCGTTGTTGGCTGTCGCCTCAAGTATGTTTGGCCTGCTGTCCGTCCTTGTGGCTGCGTTGCTGACGTGTTTTCGCAGCGCATTCCTGAAGACGGCTCACTGAGAACGGGAGGAGTTTGAGCCCCGCGGGAGACAGATCCTGTGCGAGATGACAGCGGGTTATACTCGGAGAGAGGTGTGTGGCTCCACCCAAGCGACACTCGCGGGCCTTCTGACCAATACCAGACCTATGCCAAACTTCCCCTCTTGACGACATTATCGTCTCTTCCATTCCCTCCGCGACGGGCGCTGGCGTCCTTTTACTCGCGCATCAAGTATACAAGACGGGCCAGCTCATGCCGCTCATATGCAGGGAGGGCCTCGCCGACAAGCTTTTCGGCGAGGTCGTCGCAGACAACGCTCAAAAAGGACGCCCTTCTCCAAACCAGACACCTCTACCGACCACACGCGCTCATCCTGCCCAAGGAACCCGCTTGCTCATCTTCTCACTGAACGTCGGCTTATGGCACGAGTGACGAAATCTCCCGGGCCTGCACCTACCGCAAAGCCAGCCCACCATGAAGCTTGCCCATAATCGCCTCTGCGGCTTCGCGTTCTCATCCCATGTCACCGATGCATCACCCGCCTTCTTTGCCCGTACCAACCACCGCGCTCGTTGTCCATCCGGCCATACTTGCCAAAATCGGCGAGATCACGTGGCACGCCGGACCTCCGGCGCCGACAGCGCTCCATATATCTCGACGACCATTGCCCTGTGGGGTGCCTCTCGTGTTACCCTACATGTAGCGACTCTCATTGCATTCTTCCGGCTCTCGTTTCTCATGTTCTGGTCAGCGCAGACGTGGTTTGGAGGAGGAAGGGTGGCGGGCGGGCCCGGGATGGATAGCATCTTGTGCAGGGCGATTGATGGTCGCGAGGGGTTCTATTTGCCATATCTCTCTTAGCCCCGCCTTTGACGACAACAACTACGTTTCTCCCCTCCGTCTCCGCTGCATGTATTCTTACGGCACCAACTGCTCGTCCCGTATATGATAGATATTGGTACTTGATTTCTGGATCTCGAGGAAGATGTTCGGCGACCAGCGCGCGATCCTGTATCGCCACCGGTTGGCTTCAAGATCGATGGCAGAGGTCAGTTTGTTGCCTGAGTCTTCGTTTGAACAACTCACCAGCGTCAATACACAAGTCGCCACACATACCTGACGCCAGTATCTCCTGCAAATTTGTTATCGAGCCACTTGATCATTGGCTTTAACCACATTGAGCCGGATGGAGGTGAGGTCTGGAGAGTCGTGGGAGGTGCTAGAAGGTTAGCACCTTCCGCTCGGCCCATTCTACGGAGCTATATGTCGTCACGGTCAGCCGCGTTTTGCTCGTTTTCGTTGGGCTTGCTTACCCATCCATACGTAGTGCTCGCAGATCGGCGCATATCCCCAGCTCGCGCGCTCCTCCAGCGGAGCCGGACGCTGGCCCAGCTAAATCTAAGATTGTTCTCCGAGATCAGCGACCTGTCGCAACACCAGCACCAAAATGATCACCTGCCCGGGTCACACAGCCCGAGTTCTTCGTGGTTGCTCGCCTGTCGCCAGCTCGCAGGCCCCGCCGTTGCCAATGGCGCAGCCGCACGACTCAAAGAAGTTGATTCTCGGTGGAAGGAGATGCTGGCCTTTGGCCATGTGGCATGGGGAGGCGCACGGATTGGCTGACCTTGGCGGTGGAGATTGTCGCGATGACGGAGCGGGTGCAGCGCCGGCGTGCCATTTGAAGGTAGTCGCAAGGTACTAAGATATACTTAGTTTATTGAGCATTTCATTTGGCATTAACCACTAAAGAACCTTCGCGCGAGAGTCAGACGACACAGCAAGGGAGAATGCCCGGTGCTCATCAGCTTCTTCAGCACCCTCCATCTGCCGTATCGTTGCCGCAGGTTGATATTCGCCTCCTCGCTATGAAGCATTGCATCGCGCTCTTGTTTTCCACCCGGCTCACCGGAGTCTCCAGCGCCGTTGAAAAAAATACCATGATCACAGCTGTATCCGGCTTCGAGAGGTTTGTCTACGCCTCTTTTGAACACGCAACCCAGCGGCAGGATGTACTCCAGCTTGCATCGAAGCTGCTGACCATCCCGCAGGATGTTCGCCAAACCCGGGACAAGCCTGAGACAACCGCTACAAAAGCAAGCTTGTGCAGGCTGCAACCCGAACTTGGGCGAATATGCCATCTCCAACAGCACGAGTGTGACGCGCGCAGAGAGGGAGGGAGGGGAAGACATCGGCGGTATGGGAGACTGAGTAGGAAGGTGCAGATTGATGGAAGAGCGCGTTCGGGGCGACAAGCGGATGGATGAGTAAATGGGGTGGTGGTGTTTGGGGAAATGTCCTTTGGGTGGGCGGGCAACCCGTTCTCAGACAGGGCTGTAAGGTATTCTGGTGGTTGACGCGATAGTTGTGCCAATCGTAAGGAAGCGGTGGGATAAACAGCTTGACCACCGACGGGAGCGTTGGAAAAGAATGTGTGTGTGTGGTATGCCACATCAAATTAGGGAGTGATTGAATATCCAGGAACGGACACGAATGAGGATGGGGCAGAGAGCTAAGGTGGTGCTGCGCTCCATTCTTATGAATACCCTCAGCTCGTCGAGTATAACAAGCCCTTCCTCTTCCGGCCGGCCCATGGCTTCAAGAGGTCGCTGGTGGTTGTAGAGAAGAGGGGGGGATAAGAATTTAAGTTATCAGGCACGAAGCGCTACAAGGCGGGTCAGCAAAAACGCGAATGCAAGTCGGAGGGTACACACCTTGCCTGTGCCCTGTCCCTTGGCGGCCATTATGCCAGCAGCTTCATATGCTTCGCCTCGGCCCAAAATGATAGCACGCCCATCTTCCCGACGGCATACGTGAGGAAGCTGGTGCGAAAGCGGGACTGATCAGGGGCTGTACTAATGTCAGCAGAAAAGATCTCCAAGGTGCAAATAAAAGCAAATACACGCACCGTTGTGGCTCTCTTATTATTAATCGCCTTGACACCGCTTCGGACGACGATGAGCTGCCCGAAGTTCATTGGTTTTCGTTCGCCCTTCACATCGCTCACTTGCCGCGCTACAGTTCTCTCGGCCAGCAACAGCACCGCTACCTCGTAGAAGCGCTCCCTCGAGTAGGGCGGAAAAGTCTCGAGCGGGGCGGACAGGTTGCTGTTATGCTCGAGCTCAAGCGCCGCCAAGGTGGCGAGTGTGTGGGTGGCACTCGTGGAAGTTGTCGGATTGGATACGGAGGAGGAGTAGAAGTACAGGTTTATGTCGAGGGTAGATGAGTGTGGGGTATTGGGAAGGCGATACCTCCTCTGTTCTTCTTCGCGCACTAGGAGACACAAATGCATGCTTGAAGGCGCAAGCAAAGCACACGCGGGAGGTTAAAGCTATTCGGTGTAGCAAAGGGGCAGGCGGCGGCTCTCTGAAGCCAGTAGTATCAATTAGCAAGCTATATTACAGCTTTCAAGCGAGTCTGCACACGGAGTAGCAGTCAGTAAATGTGAAAACGCAAAATAGCCGTTGACGCACAGACAGTAAACCAGTCCACCTCCCGCGCCAGCTCAACACGTTCTTCCAGTCCCTTCCCTCCATCCCAAGCCCCTTCTGGTCCGCCAGCACGAATATCCAAGGTAATCCTGGGGAATGAGTCGCGCTTGGGGGAAAGGGTGGAAGAATAGACACACGTGGCGTTGTCTACACATCCTTCTCGGCGGCTTGAAGCGTCAGGAGGTCCTCTTGAGCACCGCCATTTCGATGCCCAGGCGCTTGCGCGAGGGAGGAGTCGGCGCTATTGTACGGCTCGTCATGGTGCGGAGGAAAGATCCGCGAGGTCACATGTTTACGGGCCGATCGCCGCTTCTCTTTTCCACCCCGACCACGACCACGACTGCGTCGTTTTCCGCGCTCGGTGTTGCTCGCTCGCCCCACCTCATTCCCCGAGGGAAAGAGAGGTATGAACTTGCTGCTTCTGCTGTTGCTTTTGCTGACTGTCCCGCGCAGCGCCGGCCTCAGCTTGCCACTCTTCAATGGCCCGCTGCGGCTCTCGTAGGCTGAAGAGCCGCCGAGATAGCTCCTGCCCACTGGAATTGGAATGCGCATTGGACTTTGCGGTGCGTTGTCGTCCGCCTCCATACTTTCCTTGTACTTATTTCAGTGCTACTAACTTGCTAGATCGACGGGCCCTGCATGCAACCATCCTGAGACCTCAACTACGCCGAATCCCACTATCCACCATCTATGCCAATCCCACGCATGCTGCATGCACCCTGATGCGCACAAACTGGGCGCAAACGATAGAGCTGGCGGACGATTGAAGGACGACACGATGAGGTTTTGGAAGCGGAAGAGGCTGGTTTGGAGGTGCGCCTTTCCCACTGCATTTCCGTCCTCCTCTCACTGTCTCATGCAGATATTCGTCTCGACTCCTACACCCCCTGCGCTCGTTTTTCGATACAGCTACTTTGGCCTTGAACGGTCGACAGACGCCACCGTTTATGCCATCCGCATTGCGCGCTACCCCAGCGGACTGAGGAGCTAGGCGAATGTAGAGGGGTAGGAAGCGCAATTTCATCGGGGCTGGGAGGAAGAGCAATCGTGTCGGGGCCGGTCATGCACTGTCTATCGACACCAGCAATAACAACTCAGACAAAGTCTTACCTTCGACCAGTCCGCCGCGGCCGTCATTCGGAGTTGACGGACAATACTCGCTCTTCGCTCTTGCAAGCGGGATATCTTCGAGAAGGACAAGAACCGCCTTGGTATGTCTGCTGACCATCCATTCCGGCTGAGCTGACACGTTTTTGCAGCCGATTCCTGAAGATGGTTT